GCAGACTACACTAAGATACAAAATTCTGTGTATCGGTTTTTGATTTCGATGAACGTTGTTGCCCTGGTTACTAAAAGTAGAAATTTCTGTGAAATTCCTTTAAATTGCTACTCCACATACAGTTTTGGTCTGATTTCAATATTTATAACTTGGCAAACAAGTAGACACACTAAGATACATAATTTTCTATCTCTGTTTTTGATTTCTATGAACGTTGTTGCTGTGGTTACTAGAAATAGACATTTCTGTGAAATTCTTTGAAAATGCTACTCCTCCTACAGTTTTGGTCTGATTTCAATATAACTTGGCACACAAGTAGACTACACTAAGATACATAATTCTGTTTATCAGCTTTTGATTTCAATAAACTGTTTTGCCGTGGTAACTAAAAATAAAAATTTCTGTGAAATTTCTTTAAAATGCTACTCCTCCTACAGTTTTGGTCTGATTTCAATATAACTTTGCACACTAGCAGACTACACTAAGATACAAAATTCTGTATATCGGTTTTTGATTTCGGTGAACGTTGTTGCCCTGGTTATTAAAAATAGAAATTTCTGTGAAATTCCTTTAAATTGCTACTCCACATACAGTTTTGGTCTGATTTCAATATAACTTGGCACACAAGTAGACTACACTAAGATACATAATTTTCTATATCTGTTTTTGATTTCGATGAACGTTGTTGCTGTGGTTACTAAAAATAGACATTTCTGTGAAATTCTTTGAAAATGCTACTACTCCTACAGTTTTGGTCTGATTTCAATATAACTTGGCACACAAGTAGACTACACTAAGATACATAATTCTGTTTATCAGCTTTTGATTTCAATAAACGGTTTTGCCGTGGTAACTAAAAATAGAAATTTCTGTGAAATTCCTTTAAAATGCTACTCCTCCTACAGTTTTGGTCTGATTTCAATATAACTTCGCAAACTTGTAGACTACACTAAGAACATAAAGAGACTTTATCAAGGATCATTATTCTATCTATTGCTGTTGTTAAGTTTCAGTTCCCAACTGCTGAAGTACTTTTCTCTTCCTTTGCTATAAGTACAAACCAGTAGAGCTTCAGTCTCGACAGAGACTTCTGGTTTAAAAATGTGATGACACGCAAAATTAAAACAATATTTATTTTGCCGAATTCTGAAAACGGCAACAAAACACGCTCAAAGACATAATTTAGATCGAGGTCAGGTTGAAGAATACAATGTAACTGTTTTCACGAGTACACTCGCAGGTGGACATCACGTGATGAATTGTAATATTAAACAGGTCAATCGAAGACATAACAATGGAAGCTAGAAGTTTCTTTCGAACATGTTTTTTGTTAAATTAAGTGTGAGCACACTTTTGTCGGCTCTTCTCCTTTTAATATAACATTATTTTGTTCAATATACAACTACAGTTTTCTTAAGAACAGCCGACAAACATGTGCTGACTATGTATTCAGACGATGAAAAACGCGTGACCCTGATTATCTATTGATATTCAAGAAATCTTCAGGCACTATGCCTTCGATATTTATTTAGTTTACCTCTAAAAAAGCGTTTAAAATTCACATCCGTACCATGAATACACGGTTAAGATATCGGGAGTTTATATGATGGAAAAAAATAAACATTTTGTGAAACTTAAATTAAACTTAAATTTACGGCATTTTTTCCGGCCAGTTAAGTCCGCCCATTCTTTGTTGATATCTATAGAAATGTCTTATCTATCAAGAATACACATGTAAAATATGAGTCATTGCTCCAACCAATCAAAAATTAATGGCAATGTTAACCAGCAAACAGATAAACAGACAGACAAACGAACAAACAGGGCCAAAGTATTTTCGAATATGGTAGAATAAGATGATTTTTATGCCTCCATTCGAAGAAGGGAGAGCATATTGCTTTGCTGCTGCCTGTCCTTCCAACATCAGTTTCCGATCTTTTTCCTGGCAGAGGTTGCACTTATTGAAATGAAAGTTGGTATACTGATTTATCATAACAATATCTAGGTCAAGTTTTGTTTTGGATACGATCGAGCCATTTTGGACAGAGTTATGTCCCTTGGACGTAGAAAAATTCCAGTTATTTGCAGTTTTCGTTCATTTTCTTCGCTGGGGTTGCACATATTTAAATAAAATTTAGTATACGGATTTATCGTAACAATATCGAGGTCAAGTTCTGTTTTGGGTACGATCGAGCCATTTTGAACAGAATCATTCCCCTTGGACCTAGAAAAATTACAATTATTTGCAGTTTTCGTTCATTTTCTTTGCTGAGGTTGCACATATTGAAATTAAATTAGGTATACTGATTTATCTTAACAATATCTAGGTCAAGTTTTATTTTGGGTACGATCGAGCCATTTTGGATAGAGTTATGCCACTTTGACTCAGAAATAAAAATCCCATTGATCATGACTTGGGAAGGGGGGCATAAGTGTTTTACAAACATCTCTTGTTCACTATTTCATCATCAACTTTCCTTATAATGAAAACATTCAACTATCATCTACACATGGCGTTCATGTCTCCCAACTTATTTGGCCTGTAAGAATATTTTCTGAGTAAGATCAAATTTTGTCCGTCGGCCTGTTAACAATTTTTCAAATTGCCATTCCTCCGACAGGTTGGCCGGATTTAAATACAACTTAGCACGCAAGTAGAATCATTATATAATTCTGTGTATCTGTTTTTGATTTCGATGAGCGGTGTTGAAATGATTATTAGAATAGATATTTCTGGGCAATACTTTCAAAACGCTACTTTTCCTACATTTTTTGGTATGATTTCCAAATAACCTGAAACACAAGTAGACTACACTGATATAGATAAACGACAAATGTATTTTTACTATTGCAAAAATTCAAACCAAAGAACCTTGTTATAAGTATAAAGCTATAGAGCTACAGTTTCATCAGAGACTTCTAGTTTCTTTACTTACTAGTAGTTCTCGGACTGTAGGATGAACCCACAGTATCCAGGCAACTGAAAGGACTGGAAAACCATTGATTGTCATGGCCCTTGGACTTTCTGTAACCTTTAAGACAACATAATGACAGCATTTCATCCTGTCATACCGTCGCCCGCGTATCGCAGTGGTTAGAGCGTCTGCAAAGCAAGGAGTCAATCCTTACGTGGCGGGTTCGAATCCCTCTGTGAGACATGGAGACCAGTCCTTCGGATGAGACCGTATAAACCGAAGTCCCGTGTCGCAGTAGGTGCTGGCACGAAAAAGATCCCTCACTGATTAATGACCCGGAGTGCCGAGCATAGGATAAAATTTGCAGCTCTCAACCGGCATGTGGTGTCGTCTCCATATGAGTTAAAAATTCTCGAGAGGGACGTTAAACAATATACAATCAATCAATTTTTCACTTATGAGATATTGAACAAATTCTGTTCATATGAAAAAAGGACTGCTTCTAACGGGGCGCAATAGGTACCCATGGAAATTCAAAAAGATTTTTGGAAGAAGTGGTCTCCTGAAATACATAGATATTGTTAATCAGAAATTCAAGCATCTTTTTTTATATCATTTCAGAGATATTGTAGTTGTTTTTTGCTTTTTTAAAAATAATTTAATAAATGACCAATGACAAGGTAAGTCAATTAACAAGTTACATTTTTATTGAAAAAAAACTGCTGTCAATATAATAATATAAATTTTTGTTTTAATTTCCTCACTTTGAACATAATGGTCTTCATTACATGTTTCATAATGTCACTTTATTTTTAAAAGCTTCCACTACAAAGTCCGTTTTCTCAAGTTCTACCCTAAGTGTAGAGTCAGTTCAACATTTTGATAGTAGCCTGCAGGTCAAAGCAACTATGAAAAATACAAATATACATGAAGAGCGGTGGTTTGAGTAGGTCATGTACATACATTTATCTATAAAACAATAGAATATCAGAGATAAAATGTATTATTTATATGTACTTTGTTGTCCAAAATACAACACAATATTTAATCCCCAACTTTAGCCTCGATTGTTTTAACTTCTTATTTTTTGATTGTTCAAGTTTACTTCAGGTTAAAATTTTAGCCTTTTTGGTTCGAATTGAAATTAAAATGTTAATATTTACTCGTATGGTACTGCCATGGAAGACAATAAGTATACATCAACTAATACTTCACTAAAACAATTTTAAGAATCTTTTTGTCAACGTGTTATAAATGTTTATTATTCTTAAAGCGGTTTTTAAATGCATGGAAACGAGATGAGCAAAAATCATGATCAAAGAATTTGGTTAGATTTTTCTTAAAGTGCAGCAGTTATTTACTTCTTACTTGACTATATTTACACGTCTGGCACTGGCATGGAAGATAATAAGCTTATCTTGTAATTTAACTTATATTTTTCTTAATGTACTTAATTTTTAGTATTTTTTATCGATCAACGTGCCATATATCTATTAATCTTAAAGGGGTTTTTAAAAGCGTTGAAACAATCCATGTGAATTTTAACGCGATAAATATATTTTTTAAAAATACACAAATTACGCATTTTTATGGGCCAATTTGCATAGAAACGCCTATACCTAGCCTTAATTCACTTGATTAGTACATGTAATTAAATGTGCTTATGATCATTCTTGTTTTGAAACATGCTAAGGTTTACTTAGGGGTGCCTGTTGATGTTAAGAAACAATTCTCTAAATGGACACCAGTACAGACATTTTTTTTCAAATATAGAATATATGCAAATGTATTTTTTAACACTTTAATGAAAAGCATGTTCAATGATTTAAGGTAGAATTTTTAAAGAGAGCGATGAGGTTAACTGATTAGCCCCCTACCAGTGAAACTGGAGAAGTAACGCGTCTGTCCGTTCGTCTGTTGAGCTCCATCCATCTGTATATCAGTCTGCCCCAATTTCCACCTAATTGCTTGCAGGTTTTACCGTAATAACGCGTACTAAAGAAATATATACATGTATGTAGAAAAATTAATGCAATATATACTATATATTCAGTAGTAAATGAATTATATAAATTATCAATCAATTTAAATCACATCAACATTTTTGTCAATGTAATGTATTAAAGCTGTGACTTCTACCGTTTCCAATATAGTAAGGTCTGAGTTCAAAGTCCTCTCCTCTGCTTTTTTGGATGCGCTCTCCATTGGTAATTTATGACTAGAAAAGACACCCTCTATTGTTAATTCCCTATTTTGAGCCTCAACATTATTTCTTGTATTTTCTTTGCTTTCGTTATTATCTTCTCTATCGGAGTTTACATCAGTAATGTTAGTGTCCATGGATGTATCTGTCGTTCTACTACTTCCGGTACCGTTATTGTCCGCGCCATTTTGTCTTTTTTCACATCTGGAATTGGAATTGGAACTTCCTAACAGAAAAGATAACTCCTTTTTCTTTTCTCTCGTGTACTTCGCTCTGTTCACTTCGTCGTAGTATCTCCTTGCTTCCATTTCGGATCGATACTTTTTATCCTCAGATAAGAAAAGACCTTGAACAGTGATGGGATGATTGAGAATTTAACATAGCTATGTTTCATGTATGAAGTGTTCAGAAAGAGTTTTATGTAGAAAATGGAAATTGTTCATGTAGGTAAATACATGTATAATTTACCTTTAAACCACTTCTTCTGCCGAATACTCTGTATGAAAAAATATAACTGTAGTCAGAGATGTTTTCATATATAATTTAAAACAAAAACATTATTGCAAAATTGAATGTTCAAGTTATACATTCTGTGGTAAAAAGTTTATTTGAGCATAAGGTGCATTTGTTTACGACGATTGTTCAAAATATATAATAATTTATATTAGAATATTTTTACAAACGTGTATTCTGATTGGGCTAGATAGTCGACTATCTGAGAAGATTAAAAGTTTGGGAAAACATTGCCCTTCGGAACACTCTAAATAACCATTTAGGAGTCAATGTTCTCGACTGATAATTTCTACCAGACGAAAAGCACCCACACTTTTGGATCTTGATCCCTTTTTACAAAAGAACTTACGACTTAAGACCAAATTTAATTCTTCATATAACTTTTTAATAAACTTTATATCGAAAATTATTTTAAACTTCTTAAAAGGAATGTGGTAAGATATTTTTACACAAACAATTTCAAAGAGAATTATTAATTTTGCAAAATTTTACAATCATCTGATGTTTTTGGTTTTAGTCTTAAGTTCTGTTGTAAAACGGGCCCGCAGGCTTGTAGGAACCGAGAAGGGTGGAGGGATACCTCAGTAATGCTAAATTTACTAGAAAACAAAGCTTGTTTCAGTAGTGTCCCAATAAGTTTGTATTTACACTTTATATACTAGGAAAACTTGGGTAATTTACTGTCTTACTAGTGCTCGTAAATAACGTTATTTTCGGGAGTTGATATTTAGACTAATTCAGCCAAGGGAAATAACAAATCAGCATAGGGGTGTGGGGGGAGAACTTGTGTATTTAATCTCACTACAGAATAAAATTCATCTCTTTATCTCACGCTCATACAGCTATAGTATACAACACCTGAAATTCCGAGGTCTAGTGCTAACTTACATTTAGTAGATTTCGTTCTGTTGAGAAACAACGTGGCGTACAGTGTATGATCTGTAAAATTTAGAATATATCCATTTTTGTTATTTCTGGAGCAAAATACACATTATACTAGTTTAAGTAGATATGGACTAGTTTTTTTTAGTAACTATGGATTATAAGTTTCTAATTAAAACACAGTTTATAATCATTAAGATAATCTGAATACAGATTTTTCCCAAACCTTGCTCTCCCAAACGCATCGTATGAGATATATATAACCAACCTGAAATAAAAAAAATATAATCGGATTCCTTTTTGCACATTTATATTCAGCGCAAATAAATATTCCATATTGAAATCAGAAAATAAGGTCAAATATACTGTTATTTCCATTTCATGTTCTTCTACTATTCTGCCAGGGAAAAAGTATTTTAAAGGTGTCTTCCCACTTAGCCAACATTTTGAAAAAATACAGGTAAAACACAGGTAAATCTGTGCTGGCTAAGTGTGAATGGGGTACAGGAGGAGAACAAAAGAAATTAATTACAGGTAGGCTATAGTCTGTTTTAAGATGAATAAAATATTTATTAATTTATGTCTATTTTAATTTGATGTATTTATTTAAGAACAGTTACATCAGATAATCAAAATTAAAAAAAAAAACTTTCTGATTATTTTATGTAAAGATAGGGTTATTTTGTAAATTACATAATCATGCACATTTCAAAGTAAAGATATCAAGGATTTTTAACAATAACCCATTTATTTGTCGACTTTACATTTAGAGAGGAGAAAAAATTTATGTCAATTAAACTCTAGAAACGCTAGGTTTTACAAGTTCAAAATTGGTGAAAATTTGAATTTAAACATATATCAGATTAATTTTACCATGTATATTTACACTTGTATATTTACACTTAATCCCTTTTCATATTTTAGCTCAGATATGCCATATAAACATGTAGATTTAGGTATAATTCTTATAAAATAAAAATGCATAATTCATTGGTTATATTTAGATTGTATAGAGTACCTTCTTTTATTGTTTTAAAAATGAAAAAGACAAAATATGCTGCAACATGCCTATTTTAAAATGTACAAACATTGATACATGTATTTTTAATTGATTCATTTTATAATTTTTTAATTCATATTAAAATATTCATTTTATTTGTATAGTTTTGCTCTACTATGGAAAATGCTAGGGCTGTATCAGTATATCGATACATCGATACGTATCGATATTCAAGAATCATATCGTTTCGAAAAATATGGGAATTTTAATCACCAAAGATTATATTTCACCTTTCTATATCAAAACTGATCAATAATTATATAATCACTGATAATTATTAAGAAAATAACACACTTTTTATAATTATTACAAAATACATAGAAAAATTTATTTTATTGTTGATTTTACAGTCATTAAAAGTTTTAATTTGAAGTGTTATTTTGTAATGACAATGAGACAAGAACTTTAAAATGGGTAATAAAACACTTAATTTTTATAAAATTCATGCTTTAAATGATTCATAAGCCTTTTTTGATTAACTGTTTCTATAATCCAATATATCGCATATCGCTTTAAAAAATATTGTATCGTATCGTATCGAAATATTTTGTTCAATACACAGCCCTAGAAAATGCCCCAAAATTATTTAATAATTTTTGGGCATTTTCCATAGTAGAGTAAAACTATACAAATAAAATGAATATTTAAGCTGGTGTCTTTATCAGATAATAAATCACATTGCATCAGCTTTGATTACTGTATTCATAAATTACCATGATCAAATATTACATACTCAGATAGAATAATATTTCTAATCTCAAATGTTAATTATATTAGAATATTCAAAATTCTCTCACTTTTCTTTTTTGTTTCATCATTAAATACTTCATTTCTTATAAAATTAATTTTATAATTTTATCAATATTTAATTTTTTAAAAATTGCAGATTTTACAATATTTACAAAAAAATTCTGGAACTTTAATTTTATTACTCTGATTTTAAAATATATTAATTAAAATTTTAATTTCGATTTAATATGTATTTTTACACATTTCAATGATAGTATTAATTCTCAAGTTATCCATATATACTCATACCTGAAAACAGACTATAGCCTATTGGTCACTCAGGTGTAAAAATCAAAATGTTGGCTATGTGGGAATAGGTTTTTTCAAAATGTTGGCTAAGTGGGAATAAACCATTTTAAATGTATGCACGCACTTATACGTGTTATTGTTGGATGACGGGTAACTTACCAGACAAATCTTGGATGTGAAGTAGAGAGCAATCTGAGACAAATTATCATTGGCCAAGTCCATTCCTAGTACTGCCTCTGTCAGAGTTAGTGACATCAATATCAAGGACTTCAAGAAAATAAATCTGAAAATGACCAAAAAAAACATTATTAATTTTAAACGTATTCTAAAGGATAAAACATATTTATAAAGAATGTTTGGGACTGAGAAGTAGCCTTAACCACATATCATGGTAAAATTCTAGGTACACACCTCAATCGTCTCTTGAACAGAACTTCGCTTTCTTCTGTTAGTTTAACACGGATTCTCCATACTACGGCAGTGAAAACAAGGAAAGCCTGTTCATAGAAGAAATATTTTACATTAATTGAAAATATTTGCTATATATTATCCGCTCTTTGTGTTTATCATACAGGCATCTGATTAATATTTGTTTTTTTAATAATGTATTAAGGAAGACATAGGTAACGTGTGTTTGAAACATAAAATGACGCAAAAAGTGAAATCCAATTAATTTTAGAAGTGGAGAAGTACGAAGCGACGTCAGTGGAATTAATTGAGCCATAAATGAAAAATACTCTTCGAAAATAATGCCTCTGGATTGGTAATAAGACATTTGACGTCAAAGTATTATATTTGAAAATAAATTCTTTTTGTCTTGCTAAAAATGCAAGTCTCTTTCAAGTTCTTTTCTTGCGCTTGAAAAAAAAATACGAGGAATTGCGTTAGAGAAACTGGACGCTCTAAACTTTGATAACAGGGTGCATGTAAATCCTGATTACGATAAATCGAATAACCCTCAAAATTCAGATGCAAATTAGCAAGAAAAACTTACCATAATTATAAATGTCACTGGTAGCATAAAGACATAAAACTGCCAGGCTGATTTTGAGATCCAACAACTGAAAAAGTTAAATAACAATTATTTTATATCTAGAATGCGTTATACTCTGAGGAAATATGAAGATAACGAACATGTATATTCGTTATGTCAGCTAAAAACTCCATTAAGGCAATGCAGAGGGGGAGCAGAGCTTACAAGGGGGTCTCAAAACATCATAGGGTGAACCTGGTCCCATGAAGGAGTAAACATTCCCTGTGACTGGAAACACCAACCGTGTGCTTCTTGTAATGATCGGTAAAAATGAAAAACCCGTAGAAAATGTAGTTTATGAATAAAACCTACCTTTATAAGTATAAAATGATTTTTTAAAAAATGAATTCCAGAACAGTAACTAAGTCTAAAGAAAACTTACATCATTAATTTTTCATCAGATGGAAACTTGGGAAAAACAGTCGAAGTAGTTGAGAAGAAAACGGTCAAAATCATTGGGATTCCTGAAAGATAACACGTACAATTACAGACTTTCGTTAAAAATAAATGGGATTTTCATTAGAGATATAGAAAACGCAAGATAGAGAGAGATAGAGAGAGTGTGTATCTTTTGAACAACCACGTTAGATTACATAAAATTATGTAATGATTTCCTATCATTTCTGATTTTGACAAGATACAGTTTTTCTTACGAGTTGTGAGTTAATTGTTTTTTCATTTCAAATTCATGGAAGACGACAGAAGGCAACGATTTGGATAAACGTATTTCCAATCTCAAAACAAAGGAGACTACTTTTGTTATACATGTACAGTGTATGTTTTCCAAGCTTTCGTGGTATTTAACCCTTTCTTCGCTTTTTCGTTCCCTGCACTTAGCAGCAAGAGTAAATAGTAACAACTAATACGCCGTTTAAGTAATTTGCTTGGCGAAAATGATTTGATATGAATTTAACATATCTACATGTAATTGAAACATAATCAATGGGATTGGACATATGTTATTCCAACTTAGATTGTCCTCTCCAACGCAAACAGAATAACAAAAACATATACATGTGATTTACAACCAACAAATGTTCAATGCAAAATCAAAGTGCAGAGGAATGAGAAAGGAGTGCAAGAAGAGAAGAAAGAAGGAAGGGGTTGTAAAAGATATATATAAAAATCTTTTCGAACTTTTATCAACTTATGTACGGCTTTAAAAATGTTGGTATTATATTGTTGCCCCAAGTTTGGGTCCCCAAATAGAATTTTGCCAAGGTCTATTGCTCCTGTGTAATCAGTCATCTTCCGGTGAAACCGCTACTTCTAATGGACTTCCTGTTTGATCGACATTTCTTTTAATGCACTGACTTGTGAGTGATACAGATAGAATGCTTGTATTACTCATATTCATAATGTTTATTTCCATTTTTTTTTCATTTCGTTCAATTTCAAAATTACAAAAGTCAAAACCAGGTTTCGTTTATATATATGTTCGATTCAATCAGTGAATACTCAATCTGCTCTATCTAGAAAAATTCCCCCAAAATCAGTTTTGTATGTTTTTAAAAAAAAAATAGATTGACACATACTTCCAGAAGATCATAAACATCGGGGGTTGGGGAAAATTTCCATTCCACATAATCTGACACTAAGAAATATGATTACAACAACATTTATCCAAGAGATAGATTTTATTTGGTCTTGTTGAGATCAATTTTCATGTTTTATGTTAAATCTGTTATTTTAAAGATTTGATTAATTATTCTTCATTTTCTTTGTTTATAAATATATGACAGTATATTACAGTATATACACATATGACAGTAATTGGTATGAAAAGTGTGGAATAGTGCTTTTTGTGCATATTATGGACCTTTACATTGACCTGCTAAAATGGATTCTTATTCTTGAGGTTATGAGGTTCGCCTCGTCCTAACCCCAATCGTTTCCGAGGCCTACGAAATGTAAGAAATTTTAGGGTTCAACGTATTCTATTCTTCTCATTACTGTACTTTATATGAACAGAAATTTAGTTTGAAATAGGGACATAAAGGTCATTGGTCCCATCTCAGTTACATTTTTAGATACGGCCTAAAATAAGTAAGAGGTCATCAATCTTAGCAGAACGAGTTCATCAGTCTTAACACTATACAAATCATCATTTACGTAATTTACCAATGTATATCATAATCAATAGTAAACAGTTATAAAATGGGTATGACTACGGGATTTAACAAAAGGGTTCAAAAGGCCAAAGGAGAGGACTGTGATAGTTTTCTGTCTAGGTGAACCATAAATTATGAAGAGTACGATGAATTCATGGAAAAAATCTTTGTAAAGTTATTTTTGTCTTCGGTATTGATGCATTGGATATCTTACAAAATGTTTGCTTCATGTAGACTTTTTTGTGTTAATTAAAATACCTTTCAATTGTCTAAAATGACTGAATATATGGTTTATAAATCTTCTTAGATTGTTTTAAATATAATTAAACAGTTATGGAGTGGGTGCTCAGCAAATAGCAAATTCATGATTCTCCTCAAACTACTGGACTATTTCCCGATATTCTGAAAAATCTCTGATAAACTCTATTATCCACTCTGCCTAAGCACTGTATATTTCTCTGACCAAGCACTGTACAGTCACTGTTCAGAAGTGAGAATGTCAAAAAATATACGCTTCTGGCCTTCAGAGTAGAAGTGGAAAAAGAAAATCTTAAAAGTTTTCTGGAGATTAAGGATCTGTTTCTTCAAGTGGTTTTTCATAATAAAAGTACACAGTCACGTGTATTAGATAATAAGTCAAAATGAAAATACGTTGCATTGATTGTAAATCAGAAATCCAAATCATAACATTGCATGGTCAATGTACTGTCTTATTCAGTTTCCCTGTGAATAAAACCAGAAGTCTCTGTCGAGACTGAAGCTCTACTGGTTTGTACTTATAATAAAGAAAGAGAAAGTAGCAGTTGGGATATAAAACTTTACAAAAGCAATAAATAGAATAATGACCAAAACCGATACACAACATTATGTATCTTTGTGTAGTCTACTTGTGTGCCAAGTTATATTGAAATCAGACCAAAACTGTAGGAGGAGTAGCATTTTGAATGTTTTTCATAGAAATTTCTATTTTTAGTAACAACGGCAACACCGTTCTTTGAAATCAAAAACCGCTATACAAAATTATGTATCTTTGTGTAGTCTACTTGTGTGCCAACTTATATTGAAATCAGTTTAAAACTGTAGGAGGAGTAGCATTTTGAATGACTTTCACAATTTTTTTCTATTTTTAGTAACAACGGCAACACCATTCATCGAAATCAAAAACCGATGTACAGAATTATGTATTTCAGTATAGTCTACTTGTGTGCCAAGTTATATTGAAATCTGACCAAAACTGTAGGAGGAGTCGCATTTTGAATGATTTTCACAAAAATTTCTATTTTTAGTAACAACGGCAACACCGTTCATCGAAATCAAAAACCGATACACAGAATTATTTATCTCAGTGTAGTCTACTTGTGTGCCAAGTTATATTGAAATCTGACCAAAACTGTAGGAGGAGTAGCATTTTAAAGGAATTTCACAGAAAATTCTATTTTTAGTAACCACGGTAACACCGTTCATCAAAATCAAAAACCGATGCACTATTTTATGTATCTTAGTGTAGTCTACTTGTGTGCCAAGTTATATTGAAATCAAAACAGATCTGTAGAAGAAGTAGCATTTTAAAGGAATTTCACAGAAAATTCTATTTTTAGTAACCATGGCAACACCGTTCAACGAAATCAAAAACCAATGCACTATTTTATGTATCTTAGTGTATTCTACTTGTGTGCCAAGTTATATTAAAATCAGACCAAAGCTATAGGATGAGTAGCATTTTGAAAAATTGTTTACAGACAGGTAGACGGACGGACGACGACACCTTACTATCGCATAAGCTCTTCTGTTCTCTGACCAGTAGAGCTAAAAATGCAGTACTGAAAACATGCAATGGCATTTGGAGAATTAATAGTAATAATTTAAAAAGGAAAACATAAAGAAAATTTTAAAACAGCATTTTCAAGTTTACATGGAATCAAGGATATTCTTATCATTTTGAAAAAAAAAATTCTTTCAGGATTATTCTAAAGCAAAATATGAATTAAAACATGGTTTGTTTTTAAAACAAATATTATTTAGGATACAAACCTTTCAGGAAATGACGTTCTGGAGTAAGACTGTTTGTTTACTAGTACTGTAAATCACTTTTTATTCGCGAGAACTTTATTTTCGCGTAATTACGCGAGGCAGAGTGCTCGCGAAAATATGATTCTCGCGTATATTAGTATTCCTATGGATTATATAAAGCAATCACCACAATTCGTGAAAATTTTATCTCGCTTATAAGGAGGCAATGACTATCTCGCGAAAATAAGGTGTCGCGAATATTTAGTGATCTACAGTATTCAAAAAATATACTGTAGAGTGTTTTGATGTACTGTGATGTACAGTATGGGGATTATGAGAATAACAGCTAATGTAAAGTACAGTAATCTGTCCAGATGAAACCTGTGATGTACAGTGGAAAGCAGTCTGTGATTGCATACTGTGAAATATAGTGAAGTACAATGATGTACAGAAAGAGCGAAGTGTAAAGTTCAGGGAGGTCACATGAAATCCTGTGCTTCTGTACCGTGATGTACCGTAATGTACTGTGTTATTCAGAGGTAAGTACAGTAATATACAGTAAATGTACAGAGGTTGTCGGGAAATTTTCAGAAAAATATCAGAATATCAGGGGATCTCAAGTCCAGTAGTTTCATCAGGGACATGTTTCCTCACTCGGGAAATCATAACTATGCTACTACATGTAGTATTTCCCTCATACCCATTCTTTAACGGTATATAATCAAATAAACCCAAATGAATAAGATTGATAAGGAGTTTTCCAGGCATATACCGGTATGTCGATTTGATATATTCAGCATGAAATAAAAGACACCTCAGAGTGGTTCTGTGTACCTGATCAATACATAGGGCTCATGACGGGTTTGACTGGTCAACAGGGGATGCTTACTCCTCCTAGGCACCTGATCCCACCTAAGGAATTTCCAGGGGTCCATGTTTTATGCCCTCTTCATATATTTTTGGACTTTACGAGGTTTGTCACTGTTCGGTACTTTCCTTTTTTTTTTATTTTGTTAAGATTATCATTAAATATTTTCCTATTGATGACATGTCAAGATGTCATTCAAAGAACAAATATCCACGGAGTTTCTGTATAAATTTGTTCTTAGTTCATTTAAGGAATGTTTTTAAGTTTTTTTGTGAGTTATTGGTGTCTAAATCAAACTTGTCACGTAGGTATACTTCATGAAGCGCGCTAGCGACGTACCTACGTGCAAGACTGTGTGATTAACACTGAGTCTGACACATCTGTTTCATATTTGGATCTTCTGCTTGAAAAGAGGGTTAATGATTACCTAACAATAAAGGTTTATGATAAACGTGGTGACTTTAACTTTTCAATC